CGGCCCCCAAACGCCCCAGAGCATCCGGTTCCAGCCACGTAAATAACAGAAGGGAGGGAAAAACACCCAGTATTGCAACTTGCTGCCCCATGGGCGTCTACCTTCTTGCAGGTCGTTTCCCTGGGGTGGCATAGGATGTGGAGAAGCAAAGGGCAGCTTTCCGTGCCCTCCTCTTTCTGGGAAGCGCGCTGTGCACCCCAAAGAAGGGACGGGGTGCGCTAGGGGTGGGACTAGGAACGCCGCAACGCAGGAGCTGGTTTGCTTCGGCCTGATGAAAAATGAGCTAAAGCACTCCCCTGCTCTGAGCCGGTCTCCGAAAGGCGGGTGGGTCCATCCCCTTCTCCAGGCACATCCCGGGGGGGGGTCAGTCAGTGGGAAGGAGAAGGAAGGCAAGGACAACCGCTCCCACTGCGCCTTCTGACATCCCTGCGCTGATAAACCTCCACCTAATCCCTTTCTTGTGCTGCTCGGCGCTGGCCACCCTGTCACGTGGGGCTTAAATCCCAGCTACCGCATTCAAAACACGAGGGACAACCTCTCAGCAAGGGCTGAATCGCCCGCGCGGTGCCGGGGCTTCAGCCCCTGCGGATCTGGGATAGAGTGGTGGACAAACTGGGGGGAAGGGGGCTGCCCCCAAGACACACACGCTCCCCCTCATCCTCCACAGGGTATTTTTTTGAGGGCAACTAAGGTCTGAGAGGCAGCATTGGAATTTTCCCTGGGGAAAGGGCTTCTTCCCGAGACAGCTGTCTGAGAATTAAGGGGGACATCATTTATCCCGATACGCTATTTGGGTGTCTGGTGGCTTCAACTCCCGGGAAACCACAACTCTGAAAGCCAAGTTCTGTCACAGTCGGCGACACCGAACACGGCCACCACGGAGCAGCGGTCTTACCTCCGTTATCTCATCCCAAGTAATAGAGAAACGTAGACCAGCATCTGTTACGTACTACGAGTATCAGTATCTAAGAAGCATCTACGCTTCACATCCACAATCAGATCCATGTTCGGATCCAATCCGTCACGTTCGGAACAATCCATCATGTTCGGATCCACGTCCTGGGAACCGAAACCTACACTAGAACATATTTTTCCCAGGTGAAAATTGGCCATTTGTTGCCCAATCTCTTCCAACTTACCCTACGTACGGTTGTACAACCCCCTCTGCGCACGGTGTCCTTTAAAGACAAAGCAGCCATTGACCACCTTCCTCCCCAACAGCCACCCAACCTCCGGCGGGAGGTCGTCCAGCCACTTGGGAGGCGCTCGACAGGCAGTCTGCGCCCTGTACGGCCGACGGGACACCAAAGGGCCGCGCCGAGGCACGCTCGCAGCCACGGCCTCACGACCCGGGAACCGGACCCCGTCCCAGGCTTTGCCTCGGAAAGCATCGCATGCGAAGGGCGCGACCGTGGATCCTCCCAGGGCTCGACGGGCATCTGCTCTGGGGAAACTGGCATCCAGTGGCCCAGCGCAAAAGGGCGGCCATCGCTGCTGGGACTCGTGGGGCAGCTGGGGGTGCGGGTGGCCAAAGCTCCCGCACAGGAGCCAAACGCAAGGAGGGCGGCAGCTACCGGGAGCTTTCGCCGAGGCACCGCCTCGGTCGGCCCAGCCTCGGTCAGCCCAGCCGGTGACCTGCACCCAGCGTCCCAGCTCAGCACGAGGCGTTACCGCCTGCGTAACAGGTGGAAGGAGCCGTGGAGGGGCACGCAGGGC